CAATACCTAAAGGGGGCCTATAGGAAAGAGGGGGAAAATCTTTTTAGTAGGGACAGCTGTGACAAGACAAGGGGTACTGGTTTTAAACTAAACCAGGGTAGGTTTAGACTAGATATAAGGAAGAAATTCTTTATAATGAGGGTGGTGAAACACTGGAACAGGTTGCCCAGAGAGGTAGTGGAGACCCTATCCCTGGAAACATTCAAGGCCAGGTTGGATGGGGCTCTGAGCAACCTGATCTAGTTAGCGGTGTCCCTGCTCCTGCAGGGGGTTTGGGCTAGATGACCTCTAGGGGTCCCTTCCAACCCAAAACATTGTATGATTCTGTGAGTCTATGATTCTGTGATGATTCTATGATTCTATGATTCTGAGAAATGGTGCTTTGGAAAACTGACTGCAAAAAGTACAAGGTAGCTAGGCACATACATGACAACCTTAGAAAATGTATTTATAATCTAAGTATCCTCTTCAGAGTGATGCTAATTGGGGTAAAGATGAGTTTGTAAATGCTATGAAAGAAAATTCTTCTCTTATTAATGATAATCATAAAGTCATTAAGATAAACTGCTACTGAAAAATCAGTGGGCGGTGCTTCGTTCTGGGTATCTATCACACCGTGGGGTGCACTGAGTTCTCGGGATCCTGGCTTCTTGGCAAGATGTCTGTGAGGGAGGACGCAAGGATGGCAGGCCTGTGCTGTGCTGCGTCCTGGCACTCCTGGGGCTGCTGTCTCTGTGTGCATGTGCAGGTCGGCGCTGTCCCTTGCTCAGAGCTCTGCGTGCAGAAGCTGCTTCGCTTGTCTCATGTTTTCAATCACTGTGGAGAAACCACGGAAGATGCTAAAGATGACAGGGAAGATGCCTGTATTTACACAGCTTAAGATCAGAAATCAAAGCCGCCCTGGATAGCTAGACTTCTAAAAGGTCTTTAGAATTTTTTTTTTTTTTTACTGAGTAGTTTTAACTAATTATTTTGTCTCAGCAACAGGTTGTCACTGTAACTAGCGATTGGCTTCCAGAAAATATTAAGACACTTGTTTGGGGGAAGATTTTTTTTTTGTTGTTTTTCTTCTTCTCTTGGACTATTTTGTTAACTCCTGTTGGTGGCAGAAGTATCTATAATGCTGTGTTTTGAGGGAGACGGAGCACTGGAACAGGCTGCCCAGGGGGGTTGGGGAGTCTCCTTCTCTGGAGATATTCAAAGCCCACCTGGATGAAGTCCTGTGTAACATGCTCTAGGAGAGCCTGCTTTAGCAGGGGGGTTGGACTGGAGGATCTCCTGAGGTCCCTTCCAACCCTTGCGATTCTGTGATTCTGTGTGTTTTAATCAGTGCTCCGGAGACAGAGTGCCATTAGAATACACGAGTACACCTGATGGAGTTTACGGGTGGCACAAACGCACTTCTCTGCATTCTGCAGGCATCCCGTGAGGTTCAAAGCTTTGTCCGAGTGTCAGACAAAAGCCTGTGCTGCTGAAGTGGAACAACTAGAAAAGAGGACTGTGAACCCAAGTCACAGGATTGTTGTTAGCCTGCTTGTATGTGGGAAGGAGTTTTTCTGTTCCCCACAGCTTTTGAACCTGTCTTATCCTACTGGTTATGATCTGAGGATCGAGACCTCAGAAAAATACAATTCTCCAAGTGTTATTAAAGTGGGCAGCCAGGAGAGGGGAGTGCAGAGACACCAACCCTTAGGAATTCATTTCAGTCCTCCTGGAATTTGTATTTTTAAGTTTTGATTACCCCTAGGGCAAGAAGTATGGAAACAGCTTCTGTGGTTCGGATTATGAAGCAGAGCAACAGTGCACTGAAATCTGCAAATGCCTTGAACCTAAGTGGTGGGGTTTGGGGCCAAATTTACACGACATTTGGAAACTCCACCAGCAGGGTTCAGACACTGGGGACAGCTCTCCCCATACTTTGCTGCCCAGTTCTTCAGAAATATTCAGCAATTTTTTTTTTCCCAGGATGCACTTGTACTGAATTTACATCGTTCATGTTTATAAA